GCTAAATTGCACTGAGTCGACTGCGACGTGGAGCTGGGATACTATCGATGGCACTATCGATATATCGAATTTTTGCCTTTCTGATTCACCATCGATAGTGCTGGGCATTTTTCACATCACTGACATTACAACAACACACGAGGTTTGGTTGCGAATTTGTGTAAGAGAAATTGAAAAAATGTAATATTATATCTTTTCTAAAAGCGCATTTTAGCTTAACTTAAATTGGAAGGTGGTGGTGGCTCTAAGCATGGACAAGTTTGTGAATCTCAAGAGAAAAGGTAATTAAAATAATAAACGCGAATAATGTGGACATTTTGTTATTTTTGCAGAAAAATTCCTGGATAGAAAAATGGTCCGATTTAAAAAATTTCTTCTACATTTCGATAGGTATTGATAAACACAATAAAACTGCATTTTTACTTTTCCAAAATATTGAAATTTTTAAAATCGTATATAAGCGATTGTGGGCGTTAGAGGGGGCGTGGCACCCTTTTGAAACAAAGTTGCGCTGCGTAGGAACTCCTAGAATCTGCATGCAAAATGTCAATCTTCTAGCTTTTATAGTTTCCGAGATCTCAGCGTTCATACAGACAGACAGACAGACAGGCAGACAGACAGACAGACAGACAGACAGACAGACAGACAGACAGACAGACAGACAGACAGACAGACAGACAGACAGACAGACAGACAGACAGACAGACAGACAGACAGACAGACAGACAGACAGACAGACAGACAGACAGACAGACAGACAGACAGACAGACAGACAGACACAGACAGACAGACAGACAGACAGACAGACAGACAGACAGACAGACAGACAGACAGACAGACAGACAGACAGACAGACAGACAGACAGACAGACAGACAGACAGACAGACAGACAGACAGACAGACAGACAGACAGACAGACAGACAGACAGACAGACAGACAGACAGACAGACAGACAGACAGACAGACAGACAGACAGACAGACAGACAGACAGACAGACAGACAGACAGACAGACAGACAGACAGACAGACAGACAGACAGACAGACAGACAGACAGACAGACAGACAGACAGACAGACAGACAGACAGACAGACAGACAGACAGACAGACAGACAGACAGACAGACAGACAGACAGACAGACAGACAGACAGACAGACAGACAGACAGACAGACAGACAGACAGACAGACAGACAGACAGACAGACAGACAGACAGACAGACAGACAGACAGACAGACAGACAGACAGACAGACAGACAGACAGACAGACAGACAGACAGACAGACAGACAGACAGACAGACAGACAGACAGACAGACAGACAGACAGACAGACAGACAGACAGACAGACAGACAGACAGACAGACAGACAGACAGACAGACAGACAGACAGACAGACAGACAGACAGACAGACAGACAGACAGACAGACAGACAGACAGACAGACAGACAGACAGACAGACAGACAGACAGACAGACAGACAGACAGACAGACAGACAGACAGACAGACAGACAGACAGACAGACAGACAGACAGACAGACAGACAGACAGACAGACAGACAGACAGACAGACAGACAGACAGACAGACAGACAGACAGACAGACAGACAGACAGACAGACAGACAGACAGACAGACAGACAGACAGACAGACAGACAGACAGACAGACAGACAGACAGACAGACAGACAGACAGACAGACAGACAGACAGACAGACAGACAGACAGACAGACAGACAGACAGACAGACAGACAGACAGACAGACAGACAGACAGACAGACAGACAGACAGACAGACAGACAGACAGACAGACAGACAGACAGACAGACAGACAGACAGACAGACAGACAGACAGACAGACAGACAGACAGACAGACAGACAGACAGACAGACAGACAGACAGACAGACAGACAGACAGACAGACAGACAGACAGACAGACAGACAGACAGACAGACAGACAGACAGACAGACAGACAGACAGACAGACAGACAGACAGACAGACAGACAGACAGACAGACAGACAGACAGACAGACAGACAGACAGACAGACAGACAGACAGACAGACAGACAGACAGACAGACAGACAGACAGACAGACAGACAGACAGACAGACAGACAGACAGACAGACAGACAGACAGACAGACAGACAGACAGACAGACAGACAGACGGACGGACATGGCTAGATCGACTCGGCTAGTGATTCCGATCAAGAATATATATAGTTTATAGGGTCGGAAACGCTTCCTTCTACCTGTTACATACTTTTGCACGAATCTAATATACCCTTTTACTCTACGAGTAACGGGTATAAAAAGTTCTTTTAATGTTGTTTTGTTTAGTTAATTTTTTATGTTTTAATTTTTAAAAACTAAAAAAAAAAAGTTGAAGAATCACAAGGTTGTGATTCCATGACCCTAGAATACAGTTTGGATTCGCACATACTAAATTCAATGCTTAGGCAGCGTAAGTTGTTTTGAGCTGGCAAAAGTGGCTATTTTCGTTTCTGAAAAACTTTTAAACGTGATTTTTTACAGTAACATGATATATACCAAAATTTAAGGAATCTCAAGGGCTATACAGTTTAAAGTTTTAAAGAAAATCGCTAGAGCCGTTTTTGAGAAAAAAAAAAAAGCTAAACAAAAAAATTTAAAAAAACATTGTTTAATGCATATCTTTTTCAATATTACATTTACACAAACTACATATAGGAGGCGCTTAAAGCTTTTTTAAAAACCTTTCAAACGAGATACAGCACAAGTCTGTTGCTGTTTCTGCTGTTCTGTAGTTTAGAAGTTACGGCCTTCCATATTTTAGCTATTTATAGCTGTTTTCCCGCTAAACTAGCGAGTTTTTCCAAAAGTGGTAGAACTAAAATTTCTTATATCGAGCTGTTGAACATCATATAAAATTTTCAGTACTTTAAAACCATGTTTTGGACAAATCTTTCACAAGGTTGCGCCATATGCAATTTCTGGGATCATGACTTTTTTCCCTTTTTTGGCTCTTAAAACCGCGATCGCAGAAACAACTTTCGTAATATCAAGAAGAAAGTCCAAATAACGTTTTACGAAAAGTATAAAAAAAATAGTATTAAATAGTTTTTTTTTATATTCCATCAAAGTTGAAAAATATGGAAAAAATGGACGTTTCGCAAATAACGCATAACTAAGAGATGCGGATGGCAAACTGCAATATGTTTTACTTTTTTTTACTCTTAACTAACACACCAATCCGTGGAAAAAAGAAGCAAAGCGATTCGATGCCTAGTTTTTAAGAAAAACCACCCGGAAGTGCGAAAAATTACCTAAAAACGGTGTGTTTTTTTTAAGTGAAAAATTGTTCAACTTTGAAAGGGCATATCTTTTACAAAAATTTGTTGATTTGAGAAAGGGTTACATATTTGTAATAGTGGATCAATTACCTGTCGATTGGTATGGGTCGCAACTTTCTAGGACAAAGTCGAAAAAGTGATTTATTGCTCTTTTTTGGCCCAAGGCGCCACTGTGCGCCGGTGAATAGTTCATTTACCACACGAAATAAAGTTTAATGACTTTTATTCATACGGAAAAACAATAGGATTTTTGTGTTTTACATCTTCTTTAATTCAATTCACCGAAAGCAAAAGCGAGTACTTCATACGATGATTCTTTATCGTATCGATAGTATCGATAGTAACATATTTGCAGAGTTGCAAGTGATATGTTTATGTTAATAGATTTGAATGTAATGTTAACGAAAATATACTAAAGTAAATGTCTAACGGCTAGGCAGAGCTATTATAGACCTGACCACTCCTTGTTTTCCTTTCTTTTCCCACAATCGGCCATCCTGATTTATCATTCGGCTCGAATGATGGTTCTTCTGCAGGTTCTGATTGAGGATTCCACTTCTTCATATATTCTGCAACCGTTGATGTTTTGCCCGGACCTTTATGGTCTCCAACCTTTTCCACATCATATCGGCCGTGGGGTAAAATCCTTATTATTTTGTATGGTCCAAAGAATTTTGGCTTTAACTTTAAGCCGGTGCCGTACTGTGTGCGCTTTATGGCCACGAGCTCGTTGATTTTGTAGGTCAACTCCTTCTTGCGACCTTTGTTAAAGGATCTACGATTTTCCTGTTGAATTTTGGCAATGTTATCCTGCGCTTCCATACGAACGGTCTCTCTTTCTTGGTCCAATCCTTCTATAGCGGCGTCTTCAAGGAATGTGTTCAGCTCCGTTACTTTGTTTGTTCTCATTTCAACGGCTGTCAATATCCTAAAAGGTGAGAATCTCGTGCTTCTTGGGGGTGTGCTGTTCATCACTTGCTGTACGACCTCTAGATGTTTATACCAGCTACACGGTTTTTCTTGACAAAGCTTGGCTAACATTGGGATCACGATCTTGTGGATCCGCTCCAATATTTCGCAATATTGTTTAAATGTATTTGCAATAAACGCTGCTCCTCTGTCCGATATTATACGCCCAGGGTTTCCAAACACTGCCGCTTGACGAGTTAGTCGATCAATAACTCCTTCAGCCGTTGTATTTTTTGTCGGGTGAAGCCAGACAAACTTAGAAAACGCATCGATTACAATGAGAATGTAATTGTAGTTCTTGCTGGCCTGGTCTATTGGTCCTACATGGTCAACATTATATGTTTCCAACGGCCTTTCGTCCTTGTTAATGGGTGTTAAGAAACCTCCCTTTTTGCCTGCCTTGACCTCAGAAATTATACATTCGACGCAACTCTTGACCACTCTTATTACTTTCTTCGAGAAATCCGGTATGTAAAATGTCTTCTCAAGTGCCTCTTGAGTTCTTTTTACAGATAAATGTCTTTGCTTATGGGCCATGCGAATGATTTCTTCCTCCATCAGAGTCGGCACCACGATCAACTCTTTGATGGGATCCTTGTACAGTATGCCATGCTTAACGAAGAAGTCATCATACGTGCTGTTCTCAAGGGCTGCCATTATTGCCCGAACCCATTCATCCTGCGACTGTGCTTACTGCAGTTTGTGATGCAAAGTGTCTTCCAGCATTAGACATGAAACTCGGCTCAAGGCGTCCACGTTCCTCATTTTGCTGCCACTTCGATGTTCGATGACATAGTCGTAATCCTGGAGAAACAATGGCCAACGTGAAACTCTTAAATGAATAAATGCATAGCTGTCGGTAATGATCTTGAATTTTATCCCAAGTAAATAGACCCGCCATTTCTTCAAAGCTTCGACTATAGCCAACACTTCGAGTTCATAAGAGTGGTATTTCTCTTCAGCTGGCTTTGTCCTTCGGCTTAAGTATTGTATGTGGTGCAACTGTTGATCGTCCGGATCTTTTTGCAAGAGAACTCCTCCATAGCCGTGCATAGTGTATCTCCGTGTGTGTATCTCCGTCTGAGCTTTTGGATTATATAAACGTAACACCGGAGCAGATATCAAAGCTATTTTGAGCTGTTCGAGTGCTGCGAGTTGTTCCTCGGCGAATCGGAATGGAATGTCCTTACGAAGCAAGTCAGAAAGTGGTTTGGCCTTGAACGCGAAGTCTGCAATGAATCGCCTAAATTAGGATGTTAGTCCGAGGGAACGCTGAAGACTCTTTCGGTCATGTGGAAGCGAAAAGTTCTTGACTGCTTGCGTTTTGGCTTCAGATGGTCTTATAGTTCCTCCTTCGACATATAACCCTAAAAGTCAACCTTTCCCTTGAGAAACTGACATTTGCTCCATTTAATTTTCAAATTAAACTCTGAAGCTCGGTTGAGGACACGCTCTAGCTTGTGGATTCCTTCGTTTACATCGTTAGAGGGAATAATGAGATCATCCATGTATGTTACGACTGTACCGTCTTGAACCATATCCAGTAGAATTGCATAAATGAATCTTGAAAATACGACTGGTGAGTTAGATATTCCAAACGGGACATATAAGAACTCAAATTGCCCTGCATGTGTCACGAAAGATGTATACTTTCTCGAGTTCTGCTCAACTGGTACATGGAAAAATCCATTCGCTAAGTCAAGTGTTGTGAAAAGGCTGTTTCCTTGCAGTCTTTCAATGACATCATCTATAAGTGGCATCGGAAAATGATCCTTGGCAATTTTCGCGTTTAGCCGTCTATAGTCGCAACAAAGCCGCTTACTGCCATCTTTTTTCGGTACCAGGACAACAGGTGAGGCATACTCAGATGAACTTGGCTGGATAATCATCTCTGATAGCCATTTTGTAACCTGGTTGTCTACGATCGACTTGTCTGCATGTGAAATGCGTCGAGGGTGTTCATAGACTGGATATTCGTCATTTAGCAAAATTTTCATTTGTATGGGACTGTCCTTTCTCTTCTCTGGCTTGTAGTTATTTGTCAAAGCTCTGACAGTTTTAGCAATTGATCTCTCCAGATGAGCGACGTCGATCTCAGGCTCCTCACTTTCAGCAAACAGACACACCTGAGGGTATTCTTGAAATATATTTAGCTCTGGCTCAACTGATTTCTCTGTAGTAACGGACTCCTGGCTGTTATGGTTCTCTTTTGCTTGAAATTTTACCGACTTCTTTGAGAATATCAAGTCCACTTGCTTCAAAATGCTATTCCCGATGGCTGCTGAATACTTAATATCATTTCTGCTAGCAACATGAAAGTTTACGTCCAAATAAGCGTTGTCTACCGCCACTTGGGTTACAAAACTGCCTAGAGTATTTAACTCTCTGTTACAAATGCCGACCAGACTGCGCTTTTCATTAACGAGCTCGATATTTCCTAGCAACTCAACTACGTCATCACGGATAAGGCAGAGATCACAGCCTGTATCGATCAAGGCGGAAAATCGAACGCCATTACAGGAAATGTCCTTAAAAATGCATTTGCCACTGCTGCTAGCATGCTTCGTCATTGTGTTGGCACTTTTCCCATCCTTCGTTTCAGCTACCCTAGAACCTGGACAATTCGATGCCTTTTTCGATTTAGCGTCGCTTGTGAACGGTTGTGTTTACCTGTGCTCTGAGTTTTTGATTTATTTTTGTGATTTTTTCGCAAGTGTTTTGTGTTTAGCTTACTAACAAAGTTTGCCTAAAAATCGCGTTAGTGTTTTAAATAGATCTCCCTGTTTAACGGGTATGTGGTTTTAGTTATTTTAACAATTTCCATTAGATTTGTTTAATATCTTGGCTTTGTTGGTGTTATTTTGCACTCTCTAAATTTGCTCTTGTATTCTCTCTCTTTTTCTCTCTCCGTGGTTCTCTCGTCGACTCTCTTTCCTTAAAAACACCATGTCTAGACTTTTTAAGAAATATAAGAGAACTGGGCTGCAAGTTGACCATTCTAGGTATCTAATTGCTCGTTCCAATTTTTTAGTCCACAATTCCGATTGTTACAACAGTTACCTAAACCGTTGCAGAATCGAATTCCAAGACAATCCCAAGCAGTTCTTCGCATTTGTTAATTCGAAACGAAAATCGCAACTATTTCCATCATGCCTTCATCTTGATACAATATCCGCCTCTAGCGACTCCGATATTGCGAACTTATTCGCACAATTCTTCCAGTCCACGTACTCTTCTTTTAGTTACGATAACACCTCTTCCTACCCATACCACAGTGGTCGGGCTTGTATGGGGAGGGCGGCCAAAAATACTTATAGTGAAGATAAAAATTTTAAATTTTTTCCAAAATTCTATAAAAATATAATAAATAAAACAAAAACAAAAAATTGTTTATATTCAACCTACTTCTTAAGTTACACCCCCTGCTCTATATCCATATATCAACATTTTAAGACCGAACCATTTTGATTCTAGTTTTAGCACGTATATTTTATTCCAAAAGATCAAAAACATTTTTATTGAAAACTGAATTCTTTTTTGGGGGTAACTTTCGTTGTCCTGTTATAAAAGGATCAGACGAAAGAAGAAGACGATTGAGTAGGTCTTCGTTTGTGGCTATTCGAGAAATTTTTCTTGTGTGCTGCAGACGAAATTTTTTTATGTCCTTGTTTCTAGACTCAGCAGCTTCCTCTGACAATTCCCCAATCGACACTAGAGCGTGTTCAATTATGGATGGTCCATGAATTAAAATCTTGTGAACGGTAGGCGGAAGGTAATACCATGAATATGTCCTTGTCAGATCAAAGGCTATCTGGAGAGCAAAGGACTTAAATTTGTCCACATTAATTTTGTATCCTGAACCCAGTGCTTGTAATATTGTTGCGCATCTTTCAATAAGGTCTTTATCTAGGCCTGTAATTTCTGATGATAGCCCAGGATTACCAAAGAATTGTCTGGCAGTGTTTCCATCATTCGATGTACCAAAACCACCAACCTTCGGCTTATCGACGATCAATCCCATTTTCAAACGAAATTCTGTTTGAATATTCCTTTTCTTTGAAGAACTTTTTCTTTACCATCAACGCTACGAACTTGCCAGACTTGTACATCAAGTCTGTACGACAAATGAATAAAATATTCAAAAAATCGTATGTATGCATGAAGAGGTGACAGTCCGAATTGGAATCGATCCTGATGAACTTCTCTTTCTAAACTTGTCTGAATATCGTTCATCTCTGTGGGCTTCGCGTTGCATACATAACATTTTGAAGATGGAGTTTTAGATAATGCGTTACAAATTTTGCCATCAACCATTGTGAGTTGCAAAATATGGTGAACATATATTGTTTTATTACCCACAGTTATTTTCGTCGAAACAAGATTATTAATTTTGTCTTTAAAGTATATTTCCTCCTTGATACTCAGTTCAGTTGATTCCTTTAAAAATTGAAATCGAACAGGTCGACAATATCGTGTGGATGCGGGTCGTGGGTTTTTCCATATAATTTTGGAAGTGTCTTCAGCTGCTACTAGGACAAGCGGAACATATGAAGTGACAAACAAGTGGCTGTCTTCCAAATTATTATTCTCCACTTTCTGCTTGTACTCGCTGTATCCAGAGCTTCCGTCGAAACCCCACTTCCCTATAAGGAAGGATCGTCGACAACATCATTTATTACATTATCCTGCAACTCGATAATGCGCTTTGTTGTGTGGTCTAATAAGCTTTGAAGCTCCACTTCTGCATGTGCTTCACTAATAGTTATGTTTTCAGGATAACATTTTTTTATTTCTTTTAAAATATTATCATAGCTGCAAAATAGCTCTGTAGTAAGTTTACTATTAACCAACTCCCTAATGAGGATATATTGGTGCTTTGTTAAATTTGCTTCCGTGATAAGCGAAATAACCTCATTAGCACTCAAAGGCGAGATTTGTTCTTCAACAGCCGCAGAACGTAAATATTCAGCAGCAGATTCATCTAAATCAGCAATCTTAGCAATCCGTCTTCTTTTTGTTCGGCTTGAACACTCAGAAAAACTAATTTTGGGACGACCACGCTCAACATTATTTACATCTGTAGTGTGTACATCGAAATTAAATGAAAACGATTCATTTTTCGAAAACCAATCCGAATACTTTTCCAAAACGAATGCTTTATTTCGAGAGCAGTTTCGCCAATATATTTCAAATCTCTTGCAGCAATAATTAACGCATTTTTCCAATTCATCCAAGTATTCAGCTTTCATTACGTAGCCATCATTCTCTATTTTCAATTTTAAAAATTGATATATACTTTGAGTCTTGACTGAATTTTTACCCGTCTCGGAACACCACCTATTATACATATAAATGCGGCTAAGTTCGCATTCGTAAGAAGCTCCTATACAAACAAACAGAGAATAATATGAAATTATAAATATGTATAATTTATAAAAAGAAAATGAACACATGAACTGAAATGACAATCACAACAAAACGAACAGAGACGTAGAGAAAGACGAAGACGAAGCTAAAAACAATTATCACAAACCACACCACAAAAAGCACTGTTTCACAAACGAAAAAAAACTATTGAAAACGGCGAGACCACGTGTTTCTTTTTAAGGTAACGCAGCGGCTAGCAAAAACTAGCAGCTGAAATTTGGTCAAAATAATCTGTAAAGATTGGTTAATATTTCAATATAAGTTTGATCGTTAACTTCGATTAACTTCACAACTAAAAGTCTAAGTGAAATTTTAGTTTACATATTATTTCCTAATAAAATTGGACAAGTATACAAAAATTATTAAAAACTAAACACAACATTCTAAATACATGAATATAATTAAATATAATAGCTAATACCTTTGTTTACAATATTTAATAGTTCCATTGTTGTCAGAGTCTTTTTTAAATACAGTTTTTATTTTTTGATTATAGTCGTCACTTGCAACTCGAAAAACTGCAAAACCGATAAATTTTGTTCGTCTATGTTTAACTGCTATTCCTAAAGAGGACAGCTGGATCAAAACAAAAATAACAGCTGATTAAAAAAGTTTGAGCTATAAGGAGACAGTGTTGGCACACTTTTAGCGAAAATTTTAGCTTTTAATTTTTTATTTATGGCCTATGGGGCCGACCACTGTGCATACCCTCTACCTCATTCCAACTGCTTTTTCACTCCCCTAATTAGTGAGGACGATGTTTTACAAAATTTGCACACAATCAAGACGTCTTTCTCTTCTGGCCCTGATCTTGTACCGAGCTGTATCTTAAAAAAATGTGCTGATGCCTTGTGCAAACCGCTATCTAAACTGTTTCAAATATCCCTCCTTCATTCATTTTTCCCTGAAGTTTGGAAGGAATCTTTTATCATTCCACTTCATAAAAAGGGAAGCAAGTCGGACATTAAAAACTACCGTGGTATTGCAAAACTAAGCGCAATTCCCAAGTTTTTCGAACAGCTTATTACCGCTCAGCTACAGCACCAATGCAGCTCAGTAATGTCCCCAACTCAGCATGGCTTTATGAAACGAAGATCAACGACTTCAAATCTTCTTGAGTTTACTTCAGTCATCAGAAGCGCTTTTAAAAATGATAATCAAACCGATGTTATTTTTACGGACTTCAGTAAAGCCTTCGATTCCGTGAACCATCAGTTATTATTGAAAAAATTAACACTATTAGGATTCCCGATCACGTTGACTAAGTGGATCTCAGCCTACCTGACGAACCGAACTCAAAGAATTGCTTTTAAAAGCACAGTCTCAAACCTTGTTCACGTGACCTCTGGTGTTCCGCAAGGGAGCCACCTTGGACCCTTACTGTTTGGAATTTTCATAAATGACTTGCCCCAAGTTGTTCTCTCTGCTCATGTTGTGATGTATGCTGACGACGTAAAACTCTGTTTGCCGTTATCGAATCCCGATTCCCAGGCACTTTTGCAAGCTGATCTGAACAATCTGAATTCATGGTGCATCAAAAATTTGTTGTTTTTGAACAATTCTAAATGTAACTTTATGTCCTTTTATCGGAAGAAGCTTCTCCTAACTACATATTCTATTGGGTCGAATGAACTTGAACGCATAAATTCCGTTACAGACCTTGGAGTGTTATTCAACCACAACTTAAATTTCTCTAATCACATTGGTATAATAGTTAGTAAAGCAAAAGGCGTTTTTGCCTTTGTTAAGCGTTGGTCGAAGGAATTTGAGGACCCCTACACCACAAAACATTTATACATTTCCTTGGTTCGTCCAATTCTTGAATACTGCTCGTGTGTTTGGTCACCCCAATATACCATTTATCAGGACCTTATCGAATCGGTACAGAAACAGTTCCTTTTGTTTGCTCTACGTGGTTTAAACTGGGAAACACATCGACACTCCCTCAAGGATCGTCGGACCTGCCATGGTGTTATGTTCCTGCACAAATTAATTACTGGACTTGTAAATTCAAGCTACCTTCTTGGTCAAATTCGTTTCTCCATCCCTGTAAGGTCTACTCGGCACTTTCGACCAATTGCCCTCGATATTTGTAAAACTAACTTTCAGTTACATGATCCATTTCGCGTTTTATGTTCGCAAT